TCGCCAAACTTGAGCTTGTCCGATGGCAGCAAGCGGCCGTGGATCATTAATCCCTCTGGCATGGACCGCCCCTTCCCAGCTTGGTGCATTGCTTATGCGATCCTCCCGGCGACTTGATAAGAGGACATGTTTTGGTCTCTTGTAGGTTGATGCTGTAAGGTTGTAAGGGAATATATTCGTTTTTGGTGTCAAGCACAATCCAGGCGATTGGCTTCGCAGTTCTGGGTTACCTGGATCAAAATCTCACTTCTGTGATCGTGAACAGACCCTCTAACAATCTGAAGAAGCCTGCTGCTTATCACCTCGACTTGTTGCGTGGCTTTTAGGTATAATTTTTTGACTACTTTTGACTTGTTGGAGTTGAGGTTGCCTTGTATTTTTAGCAAAGGGCATCCATAAAAAAACATCCTTTCTTCCTTCCTGGTTCAGGTTCGTTCGTGGAGCACTGACGCTGCCCGTCTGTGCTGTGCTGGGCCTGCCCCTGTCCGTGGCCTCCACGGTGCCGAGCATCACCCACGTGATCTCGTTGACTACTTACGAAGTGAAGCAGCTTCCGGAAGGTGAGCGCAAGGTGCCTTCGAAGGTGGTAGAGCAGCGTGCTACCAATTTCTTGATTCTTAGTAGCTGAATGAGTACGCTTTACACGTGTTGGTATAACAACACTGAAATTTACGTTTTTTGTGCTTATGAGCTCTCACAGCTAAGGATTCACGTGCTTATAGGCTCAGCACTCTTCCTGGCACCAGTGCTGAAGTTCCTGCCGCGGGCCGTGCTGCAGGGCGTGTTCTTCTACATGGGAATTGCGAGCCTGACCGGCAACAACCTCTTCGACCGGCTGAAGTTGTGGCTCATCTGGGACCCGGCCAAGTACCCGCAGTACCACTACATCCAGAAGCTGCCCATCAGTCGAGTGCACCTGTACACCGTCGTCCAGGTCGTCTGTCTTGGCATTCTGTATGGGTTGAAGGCAATTAAGGAGACGTCGGTGGTGTTCACGTTCTTCATGGCGTCTCTTGCCATCATCCGCAAGCCCA